CTGTGTCTAGTTTTGAGCTCCCCAGTTCAAGACAAATACTGGCAAACTGGAGTGAACCCTGGTGGATGCTCACCGAGATGCTTAGAGGCTTGGAACATATGGCCTACTGAGAGATCAGTGTTTCTTCACCCTTAAGAAAAGGCTGAGGAGGGAAATGAGGATGTAGAGAGGAAGAGACAGACTCTCTTGGAGGTCACAGTGGGAGAAACAGGCAAATTGCATCCAGGACAATTCTGACTAGCTACCGAGGGAGGATTATTCACTGGGAGGCCAGTCAAACCCTAGAAGAGAGGTCTGGAAGGGGCTGAGTTATCTCCATCCTTGGAGATACTAGAAACTTGACTAGACAGGCTCCTGAATAACCTGATCTAATTTAGAAGTTCACCCTGCTTTGAGTGCAGGGTTGGACTAGATCCACAACCTCCTCATGTTTTGTCCAATGTCACTTACTGTATCTCTATATGGGACAATTAGGGGATTTCCTTCAAAAACACTCTACTGCTTCAACCCAATAAAATATGATTGTTCTCTCTAATCCCCTTCCTGGACTTGGGTCAGAACCTCACAATTTTCTCCTTTTACACTTAAAAGGGGAAGGGCTTGCTATTTAATAGAACTTAGAGAGACCCAGGTTTGAAGGAGCATAAATACTTGGTGGTGCTGAAAGACGATAGAGAGGAATGTAAAAGTGAAGTAACATTGAACAGTACTTCTTAATTGTTTCCAGTGAAGAAAATTAAGGAACACCAAAAGGGAGCTTTATGGACAAGCAGACGAGTGAAATAGAAATGACCAAGAAATTCTGGGCAGGGAAAATAGGAACAACATAATGAAATCAAGAACTTGGGAGGTCAAGACTCCCAAGTAGTGAAACAAGGCTCATGTGGCAAAGAGCTAACTGGGATCAGATGTCCAAATGAAGCCTGAGAACGGGAGAAGTGAAAAACATCAAGTCAGGTTTGTGATTAAACAGAAATGCAGGGAAGTATGCATGGTCTCCACCAGAAGAATGGCCTCCTTAACAGCACAAGGGGATTGGGTATCGTAAAATTATCTGACCCGTTAGGTTAAAATGGGAAATGGCCACCAAGTGTCTGCCTAATAAAAAGAGCCTGTCCATTAGCCAAATTAACCCTGACTGGATAAAGACACGGTGCAGAGACACTCCATGTGGAGACACATGAGGCAGCTCCTGCCAGGTGCCCATCCTCCGTAGCACCTCAGGAGGAACTCCCTGTTGGAGGGAAGGGAGAAGCAAGAATCCTGCTGTACCCAACGGTGGAGAGCAGGGGAGCCCACCCCTGGGTCGGGTGGCGTGTGTCACTCCAGAAAACCTTATCTATCAAGTTTCAAGGGCTGATTGTACTTGGCAGGACACGGGAAGCCCTTCCAGGTTTGGCAGATCTTCTCTGTCTCCTTTGCCTTTATGTGCTTCTATTGGGCTGAATCGAGAGTTGCTGCAGAGTTGAGTTGAAATGTTAGAGGTAAGCTCGGGGTTTGCACGCCCCACCTTGGGAAACGTAGATTTTCTGGAGGATTAAAAAAGGCAAACTAAATAGCCTGAAGTACATGACGATGCTGAAGTGGCACTGCCCTGTTCACATCAGTGTTGTACCCACAGTCCTGTGGACCTGGAAGAGGAGTTTATCATCTTCAATTACTTCTCTTCCAAAGCCCAAACGCGATTCAGGCTCTGTCTTCTTCAGAACAAGCACCTGTGGAACTCGTTGACAAAGTATTGTCGTGTCCAAATTTATATGCAAGATTAGGATCTGCTGCTGCTGTTACTCCACAATTGAAGTGGAATTAGGACTCCAGCCCACTAGAAAATACCCCTTCCACTCAGTGTTGTATCCACAGTCCCGTGGACCGGGAAGAGGAGTTTATCATCTTCAATTACTTCCCTTCCAAAGCCCAAACGCGATTCAAGCTCTGTCTTCTTCAGAACAAGCACCTGTGGAACTCGTTGACAAAGTATTGTCGTGTCCAAATCTATATGCAGGATTAGGATCTGCTGCTGCTGTTACTCCACAACTGAAGTGGAATTAGGACTCCAGCCCACTAGAAAATACCCCTTCCACTTACCTCTTAAGGTTTTGTTACACTGACAGGGGTTGCACGTCGCGTTGAGACTTGAGGGTCTTCTGCTCTTTGAGCATTTCTCCCTGGAGCATTCCCTCGTGGTGCCCGCTTGTCTTCAGCTGCGCTTCGGAGGAGTTCTCATTTGAATCAGAAACTGAAGCAGGCAACTTGATCTTCTGACACCGCCCTTATCGTTTCTTGTCAGCCCACTGCTTAACCACCATTAGCTCACAAAGATGCTGATAAGTAACTCGTGGCGTTATTGAGATAATTAATTATCAATGCACCGAGGACGGAAGGCATTAGAACCATCTCTCTTAAAATTAACAGCATTCACCCAGGCGATCATTAAGAGGAAAATAATGCCTAATAATTAGGCTTATTGGGGTTACCTGTAGCATAAACCCATTATCAATAAAAATCAAATCAGGTTGTAATTGTCAGTGTTTATTACACCCTAAGAGCAGGGTATGTTGAGAGAAATACCCAGTACTTTACCTGATACTTTGAACTACTACACTCAGGTTAAATAAATCTCATCTGATTTCTCTATCTGCAGATATCCACAGTGCAAACGGGATTTGCTCTCCCATTCTCCTCTTACAGACTGTGCTCTCACACCTTTGGAGAGCTCTTCAACTTATTAGGTATCTTAGCATATGATTGGTTGCCCAAGAAGTCCAAAAATCCCTTCTGCTGTGTGTAAGGGAAGCCTTTACTCAGACGTGGAAGTGCTTATTTTAGACGAATCCCTCCCATTACAAAACCCCACCCAATTCAGCCTGATTTTAAGATTCAAACTCAACTTGTCAATAGCAGGGTATGTTGAGAGAAATACCCAATACTTTACCCAATACTTTGAACTACTGCACTCAGGTTAAATAAATCTCATCTGATTTCTCTATCTGCAGATATCCACAGTGCAAACGGGATTTGCTGTCCCGTGCTCCTCTTACAGACTGTGCTCTCACACATTTGGAGAGCTCTTCACTTAGCATATGATTGGTTGCCCAAGAAGTCCAAAAATCCCTTCTGCTGTGTGTAAGGGAAGCCTTTACTCAGACGTGGAAGTGCTTATTTTAGACGAATCCCTCCCATTACAAAACCCCACCCAATTCAGCCTGATTTTAAGATTCAAACTCAACTTGTGAATTGTAACTATTCTCTTTGTTACAGCAGAGATAACCTCAGTAGGGATTACAGAAATACGTACAGAAAGACAATCCCAAATCTTCATGGTTGGAAAGGACCTTTGAGATCGAGTCCAACCACACACACACACAAAAGACCCCCACAATCTTGGGCACTAGAACATGCCCTGAAGTGCCACGTCTACACGCTTCTTAAATCCCTCCAGGGATGGTGACTCCACCACCTCCCTGGGCAGGCGGTTCCAGTGCCTGACCAAATCTAACCCTCCCCTGCCCCAACTTCAGACCATTTCCTCTGCTCCTGTCATGATTCCCTTGGGAGAAGAGGCCAACCCCCACCTCTCTCCACCCTCCTTTCAGGGAGTTGTAGAGGGCAATGAGGTCTCCCCTCAGCCTCCTCTTCTCCAAACTCAACATGCCCAGTTCCCTCAGCCTCTCCTTGTAGGACTTGTTCTCCAGACCCCTCACCACCTTGGTGGCTCTCCTCTGGACACGCTCCAGCACTTCAAAGTTCCAAAGAGATGAGTACAATTTCCAGTTTGACAAGCTCCCCCATACTTACAGAACAGACTTGCTTAACAGTGCAGCAAAATCCCAACAAATTTAAAATACTGGTTTGAATACTACTTCTCAGTCACTATCTAAATAATTTTGCACATTTTTAAAAAAACATTGAAAAAACCAGTGTTATTAATGCTGCACGGTCAGAAGCTTAAAATTATACAGGTGAGCTCAACTATCTAAATTATTTTGCACATGTTTAAAAAAACATTGAAAAAACCCAGTGTTATTAATGCTGCACAGTCAGAAGCTTAAAATTATACAGGTGAGCTCATCCATGAAGGCCTAGTCCGGCCCCTCAAGTACAAATACCGAATTACACAAGATTTTTCCACCTCACTTGCAAAGATGAACAACCTGCTCTGGGTGGACCTGCTGTGGCAGGGGGTGGGACTAGATGATCTCCAGAGGTCCCTTCCAACCCCATGTCATTCTGGGATGCAAAGACTGGAAGGAATGGATTTTCATGCATGGAGAACTGAAGACCATGGAGATTAACCCCTTTGGAGTACTCGGCCTGAAACGCTTCAGGACTGTTCAGAAATTGCTACTACAGAATTTCATGTCTATTTAAGTACATTTTTTACAGACTTCAGTTGAAACTGACTGCTGAGCACTTCTGAGAAGGAATCCCATAAACACCACCACCACTTAAACCATACCCACCCAAGCCCTTAGGTCCCCAGCACAAAATAGTAGAGAAGAATGTGCCATCATGTCATTAAGTACCTTGTGATGACCAGTAAGAACAGTGCCTCAGCTGGCTACTAAGAGCATAGAATCATAGGATGGTTTGGGTTGGAAGGGACCTCAAAGATCATCCAGTTCCAACCCCCCTGCCCTGGGCAGGGACACCTCCCACCAGCCCAGGTTGCTCAAAACATCAAGCATCTTCCAGTTCTCATCAGGAAGTTTGGTCACCACTCCGGAAACTCCAACACATCATTGGCTCACTTCATTTTGAGGGATATCTTCTGTTTGGACATAGCTTCAGTCTTGACAGCGAAGCATCCTATCAGGCTATTTTGTCATCTAGTTCTAATTAGATGACATTCATCTTGGAGAACATTCTACTGATGTTCTCCAAGCTCTAGGGATGCATATACTCTTCCACATTTACTGCAAAGCCAGTTTCAAGAACACTAAGCGAAGAGTACTGGAGAAGTCCCAAACAAGCTACGTAAAGAAATACCGTACTTTCTCCTATTAATTTTTGTCCACATTTATTTATGAGTAAAACAAACAGCAAACATTACAGCAAAGGGGACATTCAGGCCCAGATTTTAAAAAAAGAAAACAGATGCCTGGATAGATTCTGGATTTAGGCACCTCAAGATTGCTGACAAAGTACACAAAAAAGAAGTGAAAGTCATGAGCATTTCAGCAAACTTCGTAAGTGCATTTCAGTATTTATTTAGATGTTTAAGCTCTCGCACTAGATTTTACAAGCTGGTGAACACTGGCAAAATTATTTCTCCCACAGAACTATAACCACACATTCCCAAGACAGTATAAATATATGGTTGAACTAACATTAATACACATCACCATTTTATCAATTACATAATAAAACAAATTATCAAGTATCCAAATATTAAGTTACGCAGCTTGAAAGGCATACAAAATATTACAGAGGTCTGCCCGAGTCATAGCAGAAACTCAAGGAGGAAAAACAAAAGAAAAAAAAAAATAAATCACACTTTCAACAAAGCAATAGTTGGTAAACAACTTTCAATAGGTACAGTAAAAGAAACTACAAGATTTTTCAGAAATTCTCTGATTAAGAATTTGTAGCTACAATAACAAAGCGTTTCTACGTTTTAAAAAAATATTTACTAAAGTAAAGGGCATATTCTATACTTCCTGCACAAGACAAAGGCAACATTTTACTAGAAATATTAAATAGCCCCTCCCAACCTTTTCAGGCCCTCTGTTAAGTTGCACATGAAGTGCCAACATTAATTTTACTGTAAGGCTTTTTTGTCTGGAGACATTAAAGACTTGTGTGCTTCTGTACAATTTAAAATATTTTCTACATGAGTAACCAGAGTAATGATTTGTAAAATGGAGAGGTTCAGGTAACAGAAAAAGTACAGACACTGGGGTAAAAAGTTGCTGTAATTCATCGTATTAAAAAGACAGACTGTGCAAATCCTGATAATTCTAGTGCGATTGTGGGAGACAAAACATACAGTAAGCAGGCAAGACTACCTTAGAGGCCATATTCTTCAATATTGAAATGACTGTAGAAAAAAGATAGTAAGGTCCAGATAAGCTGGTAGGTCTCACATCATCAGAACTAGACTCATTTCTAAGGAAAAACATGTAACTGATATGCTGGGTATTTTGGCACCTAATCTCTCTACAGATTGATTCGTTTTAGTACCCCAATTTTTAGTAGTTGAAACTAGGTGGATAAGACTCAATAGCATGATTTAAGGATATCTGAACTGGTAATTCATCAACAACGATTCGTTTTAGTACCCCAATTTTTTAGTAGTTGAAACTAGGTGGGTAAGACTCAATAGCATGATTAAAGGATATCTGAACTGGTAATTCATCAACAAGGAGACACCTCAAAACCAGGGTACAGCAAAAACATTTACTGGGTCTCCGAACAGATGGATATTTAGCTAAACATAGAAGTTGCATTTCTCCTAAGCCTTTAGCCTATTCAATACTCCTAGGGAAGCTTCCTTTACTACTAAAAAAAATACCAGACTGATGCCTTTGGCATGCAGTCTGCTTAATTCTAGTTTCCATCTGTTATTCCCAAAGAAGTAGGATAGGCTCTGCAGCTTCACTGAATGCAACAATTGTTTCGGTGACCATTGGAGTCTTTAAAGCGCAGACGCATCTTGGGGCGGTATTTCTCCAAGTACAGAAGTTGTTTGCTGTTAAAAGCTCCACGTCGCTTCCTAGATGGAGGAAAAAAAAAACCAACATTATTTGAAACAGAACATTAATCTAGTGCCTAGTGAAATAATACCATCAACCAGAGAAAAATATTGTTAGGTCACTCAAGAAAAACCCCACCATTAAGTCAAGACTCTAAAGCAAAATAAGGATAATTAAAAGTTAAGTGCCAGGAAAGAGGGTGGCAGCTTCCTTTCACAAATACCTCGTTGGACTGCATGCTCAGAAGGAGTAGATAGCATTTCAGACAGTGCTTTAGCCTCTGGTATACATAAGCCAAAGATCTTACATGAGGATCTTTAGAAGAATCTTTAAAAGGAAGCTATAGAGCAGATGTGAGACGGTCTCTCTGTAAGAAAGCTGAAGCTGTCTCTAAAAATACTTATGAAGAATAATACCACAATATTAAGAAAGTACATAAATATTACAGCTCCCCATAAGAAGCTGTTGAATAGAAATTGAGCTTTCTTGGTTTTCTTAAAATGGAAGCATGTGAAAGAAGGGTACATTTTTGTTGAGTGTTTGGAATCTGTACCAAGTGTCTGATTTCTCACTTGAAGTACATCAGCCTGTTCAGATGCACAAGCCGAATTTAATCCTTTAAAGGCTTGGCAATTATACTAGAAGTATTTTGGTATTGTTTATATGAACTGCAGCTTCTTTTAAATCTAGTCAAAACCTGAAAAATTTAAGTATTGAGACTAAAATTGTTCTCATCCAACTTACATACATTTCTAAAAAAATCCAAGGAAATATCTTTCTGTGATACTCCCAGAAAAGACTAGGAGGAACCGTTTAGCACACTTTGTGGATCCCTTCTTCTGTATTAGATCAAACATGAATAACTGAGAGAGGGGTTCTAAAGGTGTTTTTCCCTGTTTGTTTTTAACCTTGCTCAAATAATTACTTAGTCATTCTGTTTTCTACAGGAACAGAAAATACCTATCTCACAGGGCAAGTCCTACAACACCAACTGTATGTAGGCAGGAGGAGTGTTAAAAAATTCAGGTGTACGAAATATTTTACGAACTAAAATAAAAGGGAAGGTAAAAGACAACAGGATTCAGAATTTCCTTTGGTGCCAAAGGATATATCAACATGTTGGATCTTGGGAACAGCTGGATGTTAGCTACACACTTACTGTCTTATGAACTGGACAGCATCTTCATACTTCATTCCACATTCTATCAGCGCAAGAGCAACTAAGACTGGAGCTCTGGTAAAAAAAGAAAAACCATTCAGTTTAGCATTTACCAATGCATACTTCAAAAAATATTTACTTTTCCCAGTTCTTTTTTCTGTCCCATGTATCTCATGTTTCTTCCTCAGGAATAGGCATAAGGCATTTCTACATTAACTGAGCCTTTATACCATCTGTTTTTGAGCTACTCATTCTCATTAGGAAAGGGACTTCAATTAACTCAGGCTGGATATTAGGAAAAATTTTTTCACTGAAAGGGTTCTCAGCCATTGGAATGGGCTGCCCAGGGAGGTGGTTGAGGCCCCATCCCTGGAGGTGTTCAAAAGACGGGTTGATGTAGTGCTGGGAGGTCTGGTTTAGTGATGATGCCGCTCCTTGTTTGTTGTGTGGGTGTCTATTTTTGTCAGTTAGGTTGACGGTTGGACAAGATGATCTTTAAGGTCCCTTCCAACCTAGAAGATTCTGTGATTCTGTGAACTCTGGTCAAACTTAACTTTGTTCATCTGACTTGAGGTATAGGAGAACAGTAGGAATTAAATAATAAAAAAAAAAATATGCAAGCAATCATTATCCAGATTCTAGGGAAGAGTCACACGTGGGCTTCTATTCCCACAAACAAGCACCCTTCGAAGCAGTCAGGACCCCAAAGAAGAAATCAGAAAGGTCAGGTTCAGGAAAAGCTGACAAATCCTAGAACTAGTGTCACAAGTTTTAGGAACAGATGTGATCCACAGGCTGCTGCACACCTCCAGGGATTTGCTTGCTTTCTTGCCACAGTATTCTTCATCTGACAGAATAGAGTTTTCAGTTAGGAAAGCCTAACACCAATCAAACTGGAACACATTAGCAATTTATGGTTCAAAAAAATAATTAAAAATCCAGATAAGACCCACGTAGCAAGCTTAAGCTGTTTTAGATACTCTGGGATTTAAAAACACCTTATGTGATAAAAAGCTAGGACCTTCTTTTCAACTAGTCAACTGCCCAATTTTGAGGAAAACACAACAGGTATCATTGTAAGCAGCTGAAGAGGACTTGTCTTGAGCCATTCACCATTACAGTCAACTTTGTTAAGCCTGAAGCTGTAATGCAAACAATGGATAAGCCAGGCTTATGGACAGCAAGACCAGAAACCTCCATTTTATACTGAAGATGCCAAAACCCATGGCTGGAATATAGCAACTGCTTTTTGAACAGATTTAGTTCCCAGGTAGTCTAGAAAAGCATCAGGAAAACCATTATGTTCTCAGCAGAGGGAACAGGACTGAGAATATTTGCCATTATTCATAAAAATATTGAGGTTCAGTGTTAGAAAAGAGACAGAAACAGAGCTCTGGGATTTTGGAGAACATTTTTTATCCCCCATGTAGGTGGTGGGTGAAATCTCATCTTGATGTGCCAGAACACTCCACTTGTACCAAGTGTATTGTAGCCATTAGCCACAAACAAGGGGACTGGAATTTTGGAGAACACTTTTTATCCCCCAAATAGGTGGTGGATGTAGCCATTAGCCACAAACAAGGGGACTGGCAATACTGCTGGAAAGGGGATGAAGAGGAAACTTACAGGCAAGTCACTAAAACCCAAATTCATTAGAAAAAAAGACAACATAGCAAGACAAAAAACATAAATGGGACACTCGTCAATATGCTTGGTACAAGAATATACTTGTTTACTTAATCTGTACCTGTGAGAGTGCTGTGATAATTGTTGCCTAAATGGCCTTTCAGCCTAATATATACATACAACAGTTTCCTACTTTTAATTGTGAGGTCATTCCAATACTGGATTCGTGACTATTTTATATTTGCCCCAAATAAACTTTTGTACTAGATCTTAAGTCTGACCAGGGCTGACAATTCAACAGATCTTTAAAACTTTACCCACCTTCCAAGACCAGCAACACAGTGTACAGCAATACAACAACCAGGTTCTTCACGGAATTTAACTTTAAGGAGGTTTAGCCAATCATCAACAATCTGGTTGGATGGTGGAGCACCGTCATCAAAGGGCCAGTCCTAGAATACAGCAGGACAAAAATAAATACATCAAGATGGAATTCTTTGTGCTTGTATGCTGTGTATAAACAACAAAGGAGAGGACACAACGGATAAAATAGCTGAATTGTAGCATGGTTAGAGTTGGAAGGGACCTTAAAGATCATCCAGTTCCAACCCCCTGCCCTGGGCAGGGACACCTCCCACCAGCCCAGGTTGCTCCAAGCCCCATCCAGCCTGGCCTCGAACCCCTCCAGGGATGGGGCAGCCACAGCTTCTCTGGGCAACCTGTTCCAGTGTCTCACCACCCTCACAGCAAAGAATTTCTTCCTAATATCTAATCTAAATCTCCCCTCTTCCAATTTAAAACCGTTCCCCCTTGTCCTGTCACTGCACTCCCTGACAAAGAGTCCCTCCCCAGCTCTCCTGTAGCCCCTTCAGATATTGGAAGGCTGCTCTAAGGTCTCCCCGGAGCCTTCTCTTCTCCAGGCTGAACAACCCCAGCTCTCTCAGCCTGTCCTCACAGCAGAGGTGCTCCATCCCTCTGGTCACCTTCATGGCCCTCTGCTGGACACGTTCCAACAGGTCCATGTCCTTCCTGTGTTGAGGACTCCAGAGCTGGACACAGAGCTCCAGGTGGGGTCTCACAAGCACAGAGTAGGGGTAAGCTTATGGTTTTCTAATAGTGTAACTATAGTAATGTTACAAATAGGTTTCCTATAACATGTTTGCATTGAGCAAATTATTTTGCTCTGAATCAGATGTTTTTTCCTGACACAAGAGGACATCTTTACAGCTTTTGCCTCCATCAGCTGCTGGAATACACTTGTAGATTTAATAAGGTGGTATCAAAAGATTTTATATTTTTTTGGGGGGAGCGTGGCAGAAAGTGGGATGGGGTGGGGGTGGGCTGGTTTTAAACTGTTTCTACATTACTTACCAAAACCTGAATGCCTTCTTTTTCCACCGGAGCAGTGTCGTAAGTAGCTTCACACACTCTTACTACTGTGGTAACACCGTACTTCTTAAGTTCCTAGGGAATGAAAAAAAGACTGCTTTAAGAGTAAACTGCTTTCACTTCCCATTTAATTTTCTCAACAGGTTAGCTTGTTAACTTATTTCAAAATGTTCAGTAAGTAAACTCATGCAAATATTTGAGTTTAGCTGTACAGAATAACTGAAAAGCTGTGTGCTAATGCCAGATACTTATAAGCTTTTCTGCAAATATATTTAGAGATCGTTTTGTTATGTTGGATCATTTTTTTTTCCTTTTAAAATCAGATCCAGATAACAGCTGATGAAATAACTAGTCCACCTCCAAAAGATCACTCCTTTAAAAGGAACAGGAAGTTTCCTGGTTTGCAAAGCCACATACTTCACTACAAGCCTTCTGAGTGAGGTTTAGATCTTCCCCTTTTCTCCCTCCACTTAGAACAACAGGTTTGTAAGACCTCTTACTGTTAAGAGTTTTGAGCACAGGACAATAAATTATTCCAGTTTCTGAGTTAGCGCAACTAGAGAATGATAAAATTTATCTTTCCATTTTTCTATTACCCTCCATTAAAGAAAAAAGACAATAATTCTTCGTTCTCCCATCATTCACATGGAAAGTGTCACAGTAATGACTGAAGCAAAGCCTAAAGCATACTTCATCTACTTGTAAGAGTATAAAGGCAAACAAATGTTCTTTCACTACACTTCTTGTAAATTATCCCACTCCGAATGCAAAACAGAGGTGTAATAACCTAAAAACTTGCTAATGAGGGAGTGCATTACAAACTGGGACCTTGCCAGGAAGTAACTTTGGAGGAATTTATTGTTAGCACACACTCATACACTTTAGCTCTGTGCTTTATAGCTCCAACACGCGAGATGCAAGGCTCAGATGAAGGATTCAGAGGCAAGCGATTGGTGCCAAGCCACCTGGCTTCAGTCAGTAAACAATTTCAGCATGTACCAAAACACTCCGAGCAGCTCCAGCAGCTCTACGTGCAGAGCAAGCCTACCACCACCACACACTTCAGTCAAGTCCACACCCTGACACCCAGAAGATTCTCTGAAGTTACACTGGAGCCATGATCTGCTAATACTGAAGGGAGATGGGCACTGTTAATTGTTTCCATGTTAATCCTGTTATTTGTTTCCATGTTTGATCCAAGATGTGTAGTGGATTATTCTCTTTTTAATCACTACCAATAGGTGCAAGGAAATGTTGCATTCAGATCCATCTAAAGTGGTGTGAGTTCCTACCACTAGCAGATCTTTGTATTGTTCTACACATAACAGCCAGATAATTCCCTTTTTCAGACCTGAACAATGCACTTGGCAGTGTAATTATTTCTTTGCTTCACTTTGAGAATATCTGGATAGATTTGTCTGCAGATTTTTGAAACATGGCATCAGTGTTTTAAGGAAAGTCACATACAAACAAACAGTCTCAGCACCTCTTCATATGGTTTCCACAGCTGTTATCAACTAGTAAAGAAGGAAATTGTTAATATAGCATGCTCTCCAGGCATTTTAAAAAAAAAAAAATAAATCAGTAAGAATTCTTTCCTGGCCTTACCTCTATAAATTTGTTTAAGGTTGCATTGGTTGGATTGTGTGTGATTAGGAATCTCATGTTCTTGTAGGTGATTTCCACAGGAGCTGGGCGGTTCATTCGGGCCATACTGATTTAGTTAAACATGCAACAAGATTATGAAAGGATTCAAAAAAAAAAAAAAAATTCTAACACAGAAGTGATGTAGAGAAACTGAAGTCTACTTCACTATACTCCACGTGAAATTCTCAGTGCTTGGAAGAATGAAGTTGGGAGCAATGGGAAATGAAATGAACCTCCTAACAAGAAGCAGCAATTCTTCAATCCAGTAATACTGAGGCAAAAGAAAGGCAGTGCACTGAGGTTTACCCCATCCAGGTCTGAATTCTGTTGGTAAATGCTCTGCCAATTTCAATTCAATACTTCTTCTCCTGGTCAACCACTCTTAAGGGGGCTTCTTGGTGGAGTAGTAATGAATTTCTACAGTTCACTTGTCTGCATAGAGGTCGTGCTGTGCCTGGCAGTAGTCTCCACTGCCCTTCAGAAACTCCATAAATGTGTGACCAAGAACACCACAGAACTGCTGTAAAGAGAGGGGAGACAAAAAAAAAAAAAAAAGCATAATGAGCACAGGTGCAGCCAAGTTATTTTGAAGACACCAAGCAGTATATAATATCATAAAATAAAACTGAGACAACTCAACAGTTTCACAAGGTTAATTTATTAATCCAAGATTTAGGTTTGCGTAAGAACCCCGTTACCTTTCTCAGCAAGGATTACTTGAAAATAAGTTAATTTACTTTATGCAAAGTTTCCATATAGGGTTGTTTCAAAACCAGATCTTGAGATATATTAAAATACCAATTCAAGTGTGCTAAACATAGCAACAAGAGACCATATTTTAAGAACCCCAGTATTTATATTTTAGCATAGCTTTTCCAGGATACCCATACAGAAAATACCTATATTTTCCATTCTCAATTAAGAGACATCACAACACATACTAAAGTCACACTGATCTTAATTAAGGAGGCCCACAAAGGCAAGGATGAGATCCCTTGAACATTCAAGCTGAGCATCAGACAATTTTAAGTGCTTAAAAGAAACTATCAGTTTCTTCATAGATGCAGAATCACTTGTGTTAAAGGCTAAAGACTTAATTGGCATATAAGCATCATTAATTCAAGTACAGAACAGCTAGTAGAAAAAAAAAAATGCATCTAAACCCATCTGCCTCAAATAGGAGGCCTTGAAAGCGAACACAAAGTCTTTGTGGCGTAATAAAAACAATGCTGGCTTCTGAACATAGTTTGAGACTTTCAAGGCACACAGATTTCTAACTAAAGGAATATTTCAGATATTAAAGGCTGAAGACACATGGCAACCTTCATCTGCTTTTAATTGCCTTTTTACAACGTGACTTTATTAGCATACCAAGATAGTGGCAACAGTCTAGCTAAGAGCATACAAAAGCAAGTTTATTGCACAGGTTCTTCCTGCCCAGCGGTGTGCTATTTTGCTAGGGTTAAATTTACACAGGAAATTACTCCCAGACCACAACCAGGAAATAGATAACTGATGCTGAGTTCTGCATCCATTTGCAGATGTTGCTGTGCAAATGAAAGAAGAATATATGCTTTTGGGCACTGCAGAACCTTACAGAGGAGGAGTCAGTTCTGTGCCCAGCCCCGGTGCTGCTGCTGACACCTGCCCGGCCAAGAGAAGGGAAGAAGAGAGAGAAGTTTTTTTTCCCAAAAGACAGGTACAAGCTGAACCAAATACCCACTAAATATACTTAGGTATTAGAAGGAAATATCATTGAGTGTGCAACTACATAGCAGAAAAAAAAAATGACATGCTGACCAGTCAACTCCAAACATCGGAAGAAATACACGTGCTTCTATGCCCAAACAAAATATTGCCCGTGACACTTTGGAAATAGATATATACAGATATATTACAGAGACTTACTTTATTAAATATGTGATTTTTTTTTTTTTATTATTCCCCCCAACTGGGACACAGTAGTATCAGTTCTTAGCCTTCATAAATCTACTTTCTAGCAAACAGAAGCTGTAACTTCATTGTAGCATTGTTCAGATATTTTTTTTAAACCAAAAAGCAGCTCTGTGCTTCTATCCACACCCATAATCAGAGCAAGTGTACATGAGAAAGTAAGGAGGAGAGACAGTATTTCTACGCTCAAACCTTCCTAATCAAAGGACCCTGAAAAAGCAGCCTGTGCTGAAAAGGTTCCCAACCATAAGGCAGCCAATTCAAACAATCAGGTCCTAAAGACAACTGTAGAGTGAGTCATGATAATAGCCAATATCTTCATGCACTTTAACAAAGGGCAGGAAGAAGTCATGGTTGCTAACTGCCATCTAGGAGTTGGGAGTCAGACCAAGACTCCACCACAGGCACTACACCATATACTGTAAGACTACAGTGAGTCTACTTAACAGCTATGAAGGAGAGTTGGGCAGAGAGGAACGCGATGAACTTCAACAAAGGCATGTGTAGGGTGCTGCACCAGGAGTGGAGTAACCCCCTGCACCAGGACAGGTTGGGGGTGACCTACTGGAGAGCAGCTCTGAGGAGAAAGAGCTGGGAGTCCTGGTGGACAACAGGATGCCCATGAGCCAACAATGTGCCCCTGTGGCCAAGAAGGCCAACGGCCTCCTGGGGTGCATCAGGAAGAGTGTGACCAACAGGTGGAGGGAGGTCATCCTGCCCCTCTGCTCTGCCCTGGGGAGGCCCCATCTGGAGCACTGGGTCCAGTTCTGGGCTCCCCAGTTCAAGAAGGGCATTGAACTGCTCGAGAGGGTACAGCAGAGGCTACAAAGATGATGAGGGGCCTGGAGCATCTCTCTGATGAGGAGAGGCTGCGGGACTTGGGTCTTTTTAGTCTGGAGAAGAAAAGGCTGAGGGGGGATCTGATCAATGCTTATAAATACTTAAAGGGAGGGTGTCAAGAGGATGGGGCTGGTCTTTTTTCAGTGGGGCCCAGGGACAGGCCAAGAGGAAATGGGTACAACTTGAATGTAAGAAGTTCCACCTAAACATGAGGAGGAACTTCTTTCCTGTGAGGGTGGCAGAGCCCTGGAAGAGGTTGCCCAGGGAGGTGGTGGAGTCTCCTTCTCTGGAGACATTCAAACCCACCCGGACACGTTCCTGTAGGACCTGCTTTGGCAGGGGGTTGGCCTAGATGATCTCCAGAGGTCCCTTCCAACCCCATATCATTCTGTGATTCTGAGCCACAACAGATCAATAGTCTTAACAACTGTTGAGTTTTCTAAGAGGTATAGAATCATAGAATAGTTTGGGTTGGAAGGGACCCTTAGAGGGTACCTAGGCATGTCAGCAGTACAGGACTTCTTACAGTGAACTACAATTTAAAGAGCTGCACCAATGTTTTCTGTTGAAGACGTGGCTTTCCTCCATTCATAAGCAGGAAGGATATAAGGCATAAGAGGAATTTCAGCAACAGAGTAGTAGTAATAGAGAAGATAAAAATCATTAAGAGCCTGGACTCTGGCAGATGGGTAGAGCTGCATCACAGGACATCCCAAAGGACCTTTAGGAAAAGCAGATCAAACACCTCTAGGCATCATTTGCATGTTTTCAGACAGCTCCCTGGTAAGAAGTTTTGTTTCAAGGATGCACCTTAATCACAGGCATGGCTTGCAAGCAAACCAACAAAAAAATATCAAAAAATTTAAAAAAAGCAGCAAACCAAGAAAAAGAAAACCTGCTAAGAAATACAAGAAAGAAGTTAGCAGAAAGAAACTAATAGGAAAATTTCACATGCACTTTGCTGCCACTCTAGGGATATTACCATCACTGTTTCTGTAAAGACTGTAGGATTAAGTTTGCCAGTTACTTGCAAAAAAGACTATTTCAGCTTTTTATTGTGATAACTTGATGGACAGTGAGAGCTCCAAATAAAACAGGCATGAACAAGGAGTAAGAAGGATCTTCTGAAGTCAAAGGCCAACAGAGTAACAAGAACCAGGAGAATTTGGACTTGGAAGAACTCCAAGAATCATCACCTGACACACCAGCCATGCCCTAGCAGAAGAAGGTTGGTGTGCATTAAAAAGACTCCCAGGACCAGACCTAGAGAACACCTAAAATAGCAACTAAAAAAAAAAAAAAAAAAAAAAAGAACTGAAGGTAGCTTATTTAAAGTCACTTTCAATTAGTTTAAGAAGCAGAACAGCAAAAAGGGACAGAAGAGCTTTAAGCAGATCCAGCTGCACGAGGTCTTGTGCCACTTTCCACATGCACTGGCAGATCTGGTGTTTATCTCTCCTTAAGCCTGCTAAGAAGAATCACAGTCGGTTCCTTTTCCCCGGCAGAGGATGAGGGAGTGGAGGCTGTCAGGAACAGAAAGAGAAAAGCAGGCAAATGAGCTGGAGGAGATAGAATGGGGTCACTAGGGTAAAGAAAAGACATTTCAATCAGCAAGACGGAGTTTTTTGGGGGAGAAAAGAATGTAAAGTAATTGGAAGTAGTTAACATGACCCCTTAGCAGGGCAGGTAGGAACTTTAATCAGGATTCATCCAGCCTGGTGGGCAGGCTGCCCTTGGTATGCAACGAGGAGTACTCAGTGTGATACCTGACAAACTCACAGGGGGGGGGAAGGAGGGGGCAGGCACTAAAGCATTAGTTAAGTAATAAATCCTACTTTTTCAATACAGATTATTAATCGTATCTAGAAACTGGGTGCACGGTTCTAGTCCTTACACAAAGTTCAAGTACATTACACAATGTTACGTCCGACTTCTACATGTAATTAACCCCTGCAAATGAGCTCATTTCGTTAATACTGACTTACCAGTTAGCAATTAGACATATCGGGACACATTGGCACCTTACTAATTCACACAACTCAGGCCTCACCTTGAGTGCTGTGTCCAGTTTTGGACCCCCTACCATAAAAAAGACATTGAGGTGCTGGAGCGGGGCCAGAGAAGGGCGACAAAGCTGGTGAGGGGTCTGGAGCACAAGTCTTATGAGGAGAGGCTGAGGGAGCTGGGGGGGTTCAGCCTGGAGAAGAGGAGGCTGAGGGGAGACCTTATTGCTCTCTCCAACTCCCTGAAAGGAGGGTGTAGAGAGGGGGGGGTCGGTCTCTTTTCTCAAGTCACAGGCGACAGGACAAGAGGAAATGGCCTCAAGTTGCCCCAGGGGAGGTTCAGGCTGGATATTAGGAAACATTTTTTCACTGAAAGGGTTCTCAGCCATTGGAATGGGCTGCCCAGGGAGGTGGTTGAGGCACCATCCCTGGAGGTGTTCAAAACACGGGTTGATTTGGTGCTGGGAGGTATGGTTTAGTGATGATGCTCCTTGTTTGTTGTGCGGGTGTCTATTTTTGTCAGTTAGGTTGACGGTTGGACAAGATGATCTTTAAGGTCCCTTCCAACCTAGAAGATTCTGTGATTCTGTGAACTAAGGACCTAACCATGCATGTATTTGGGTCTCACCCTTTGCCTTGGCAACTGCTGCTGCCACACTGTAAAGAAGCAAAGCTCCCATGTTCCTTTGATGTGATTGCCATCACTTCTCACTATCTATCCACG